CCCTGTTCTGTCTGGCGCTCAGCGCCCAGCCTACTCTACCCGACTATCCTACCTACAACCGGTTCACGGAACAGGATCACTTCGACTCACGAAGACCAATGCACATGACTACCAACACCATCGCCGACCTCTCTTCATGTACCAGGTACGTATCTCGTCACCCTCAATCAGACCTTGATTACCCCACACTCGCCTCCTTCCCTGAAGACCACTCAATCGCCCCCATTACCCCCTGGCGCCCAGCATCCCGGCTATGGCCGCCTGCGCCCCGCTGTCCTGCAGCGCCCCACTTCACCTCTACGCGCCCCCTCAGCGCCCTTGGCAGCAGCGCAGCATCAAGCGAGAGCACAGCAGCACTTCCGCATTGCCAGCACTGGCCAGAATGCCTGGCCTGGGCTGCCTCACTCCTTTTGTGGAAGTGGCAGCCTCCTGGATGCTGCGTGTGGCCTGGCTGGAAGCTTCCAGTAGCTTCCGGTTGGGTCCCAGACCCTGCGCCCAGGCCCGAGACTGCAGTTGAGGGCCTGGGCCCTTTACAGTTAGGCACGGCCTGAGTCTCTGGACTTGGGCTGTTTGCTGCGTCTGTGCAGGGCTCCCAGGCAGGTGTGTCGGCACTACTGCTTTTGCCAAGGCCGAAGGCCTGCTTCCCAACGTATCGGCCCTGCTTTGTGTATGTGTGCCCAGGCGCAACTGTCAAGGCCTGGGCCAACTGTATGACGCAGAAATGTGAGGCTCACGCATCTACCCAACCAACTGGCATGCTGCGAGAGCCTGAATACCCACATATGGAAATGTCCAATTTTGCCTCTGACGCATATTCAGGCCCGCCTTCACTTAGGGCGGGCACTTTGGCTTGCTGGGGGCCTTAGCCCAGAACAATGTGACGTCTGATAGGGCCCCTTGAGGGCTTGTTCCTCACAAAAAGTAAAAGGAAAAAAGAAAAAGAAAAAAAGAAAAAGAAAAAAAGAAAAAGAAAAAAAGAAAAAGAAAAATGTGATAACGCGTCCAAACATGGACTGAAACACACAGCTGATTTTTGAGTTTTGCTCATAGACTGAATGCCCTACTGAGTTCCCGCCTGCTAAGTCTGTGTGTGTGTGCTTGCTGGACTGCATGTCTGTCTGAGTGCTGGTTGGCTTGCGTGTGTGTGACTGTGCCTGTCTCAGTGCTGGTTGGTACGAGTGTGTGTGTGGCCCGTCAGGGCACTTGTTCGTTCGTTGGGCCCTCAGGGCCGGTACTTACCTGTGGCCGTGGCTTCGAAGGGTTGCAGCGGGGAAAAAGCACTAGCGGGTAGGCCGGTACCGCACCCGGCAGGGAGGTAAATGGTACCGGAGGCCGAGCAGAAGAAGACAAAAGTGGCATTTTTAGAGGCCGGCAGTGTAGGCTAGGTGTTGCATACTGTAACGTGCAGACCAGAACAAGAACCGACCYTTCAATACAAAGTATAAGATAGGACAGCGGAAGACTTAGATACCAGTGATCCGAATAATCAATGTTGCAATGCAGCCCTGAACACACATCATCATCATCGTTACATGGTGTGAAATGGGCCTGGCGCTTCACACAGGAAGACTGCGCCAGCCCATACCATACACAGACGAAGAGGAAGGAGATAGACGAAGAGGAGGGGGAAGATGGGAATGTCGTCAACACCAAGTCTTCGGCATAAGCCCAAATAGTCCCTCGTCGGGATGTCTGAATCCCAAATGTCAAGTCTGGATCGAATGTCGTCAAGTCTCAAGTCACAACTCTGTCTCTCTCTGTCGTAGTCTGAGAAGTCAGGTGGCGAGAGGGTGAAAAGAGAAGGTGAACTTAGAAGAGGAAGAAGAAGAACTCTCTCTCTCTCTGTGTCCAGTACTAACCTGTGAAGTTGGCGCCTTGATGTAGGTACCACGAAGATGGAGCTGGAGCGATGGCGCCACAGGTAAGTATCACTGGCCTCCGCCAGTCTCTCTCCCACTCCACGATCTACCACCTACCAGCGCCCAGCGCTGAAGACTACAGCAACAGCTATGGCGCCCAGCGCCGAAGACTACAGCTAGCGCTAAATCACACCTAGCGCTGAAGACTACAGCAGCGCTCCTCCTGAGTGTTGCGGGCGAAATCCTGAAGGCTACCCGTGCCTACTGACACTACCTACCCTTGAAGTGCATGGGAACTTCCTATGTACTACCGGGTGTGCCTCCTGAGCCTGCCGAAGGGAGGCAGGGGCTGCAGCTGCAGCTCCTGCTCAAACTCGTGAGAAACAGGCTATTTCTGGCCTTTTCCGCATCCCTGTTTACGTGCCTGAGTCTTAGGGGCAGGTCGAAACAACGAGGGCCTGAAAATGGCCCTCCGTTTCCGGCTGAAAACTCTGGGTCTGAAAAGACCCAGAAATAGGCTGAAACGGGGTAGGGCCTGCAAGCCCTCGTTTTTCAGCTTTCAGGCTGAAACGAACGGGGCCTGTAAGCCCCAAGTTTTAGGCTTTTAGGCTGAATGTCCGGGACGGGCCCTGCAGGGCCCATGTGGCTACGCAGTATGCCACACTAGGTCTAGCGGGTACCAGTCTGAGTCTAGGCCCTGTAGGGGCAATATCAGAGTCTGCAATGATGTTCCCTCCAAAAGAGGAGGAGGTACCGGTTGCTTGGGAAGGCCAGCGGCCTGGAAGTCGCCGCCCAAGAGGCAAAGCAGGCCGCTATATCTTCCGGACGGGCGGAAGACCCGGCCTCTTTTTCGGTGTGCAAGTTTGGCGACACACTGGTGGAGCGCTGGCTGAAGCAGCGCTAAGCTGGAGCAGCGCTGCTGGGGAGGAAGGAGAAGGATATGAGGAAGGAAGGGGGAGGAGCGCCAGGGGTACTTACTTGGCTATGGTGGCAGCCATCTTCATCACCTTGGTGGGCGCTGCAGCAAGGAGTCCCCAGCCGGGGAGAGCCGCACCAAAAAGCTTCAAGGCAGGGTTGGGCATGGTGGCCTGAGCTAGAGCATCCATAGCTGCTTTGTGTTGTCCTTTGGGCATCTGAGCAAGGCCTAGTAGTCCGCCATAGCCTCGGCCTATCAGAGTGAAGTGTGCGAGAGGCGGCCATGGCTATGGTGGACCTTGGGTGATACCTGCAGTAGAAGAGGGACTCAGACATTGATTCTGGACCATTCATTCAACATTGTACTGTTATTTCTTGTATGAATAAGAGAAGGGGGAGATAAGGAGGAGGAKATTGTTGGGCGAAGAAGAAGAGTCTTGTCATTGTCTTTGCTGGTGTACATCTTCTTCTTCTTCTTTCTTACTTCCTTCTTCTTCTTCTACTCCTCTCTCTCCTCTCAAGTTCATTCATTTCTTTCTGCAATTGGATGGCATTGTACTTTCCAGTTGATGTGTATCTCGAAATTGGCCAGGGTCATAACATTGGTATCAGAGTGGATTCTACTTGCTGGTGAGAGTTGACTTTGCTGCCCTAACCCTAACCTAAGTGGTTGAGGGCAACACTTAGGGTTAGGGTTGGCTGGTTGAGGGAAGTGGGGCAGCGTGGCTAAGGGAAGCTGCCCCCACCTGGTTAGGTCATGTGGGGTCAACACAAAACCTAACCAGGTTGCTTGAAAGTGAGATTAGGGTGGCGAGACATTTCGAGGAGACTTCATGCGGCGATTTGAGAGAGGCGACAGTGAGAGACACTCGCACCTGGAATCTGATTCAAGGGAGACTCTTGGCAACTTAAGGGCTGCCCTCAAGTAGGCGAGCTTGAGGGCCAGCGGCCATTCTGCATCAACGGACTGCAAGTTGCTACTTTGATCTTCAGCATCGACAGGGGATCCGGCGTTGCACTTGGGTGTTGGAGTCGGACCCTCCTAGGAGATAGGACATTAGTGTAGGGGTAGCGTTAGAGGGGTCAGGAGGACCACATGAGAAGGGGGGTGAGTTCTCTTCATCTCGAAGCTCAAGGCCACTCAGGTAAGTGTCGTGCACCTACGGGATGCCCATGTATNTTCATCTCGAAGCTCAAGGCCACTCAGGTAAGTGTCGTGCACCTACGGGATGCCCATGTATGTGTGTATGGTATTGATTGACCTGCTGGGGTACTCTGGGTTTCTTTTCCTACTCCTCTGTGGTCTTGATTGTGTGACTGAATGCATGTGATCTACCTACTCACCTGATGGATGGAAAATGAAGTATCTTGACATACATGCCGAGTCTTTCTACGGTGCTTTGTCTTTTCATCACTGAACGCTTGTAGTCTGTACGTTCTGCCAGAAGTTGAAATTTCGTTTTTCAGTGCAGTAGAGACTGAACTAAGTTCAGGTGGAACTCCTTTTGGTTGGGACCTGGTTGAGACCTACGTGGGACCCTTGGGACCCAGCGGGACCGGGCCCAAACAAGGAGAGCCTCTGGGCCCAAATCGGTTAGGCATTGACCTTTTGTCGTCTTGGCTGGGATACGAGTTCATTCTTCTTGGATTAGGACACCCACTGCCGGGGGGATTTTGGCTGAGGCGTTTCGCATGTATTCTGATTGCACTGTCCGTGGCGTGACTCGCACCCTGTACACCACTCAATTCTCCATTGTTGCATTTAGTTACTCGTTGTCTGATTTGCTGTACGGACACAGAGCTGGTCAGACTGGACTCAAGAGGACCTCGTATGCAGTCTGATCAGACAGGGTCACTGGATCAAACCTCTCATTGAGATTGTTTGTTTCTTCTGCTGCTCTCTACTTCCAAATGAAATGCCGCTCCGACTAGGAGTTCTACCTTCTCTTCTCTGAGCTTTCCAGTCTGTTTTTCTGAGTTCATTTTCGATGCTCGTGGAGACTCGCAACTTGAAAGAAGAGAGAGAGAGGAGGGAGAGAGTACAGGGAGAGAGGGAAAGTGATCGTCTGAGGTGGGCAAGGACTGGGAAAAAAGGGAGTGAACCTCTTGAGAGTCTGGTTGATTCTTTTGCTGACTGGCGACTCTCTGACCCACCTGTCCATACTGACAGTCCGAAAATGGCCCAGCTAACTTCATTGCAATGGCGGGCGTTGTTAGAAGATGCAGCCAATGATGATGAGAAACCTTATCTGCAAGCACTCTTAGACAGTGCAATCAAAAAGGAACAGGAGTCAGAGAAGGAGAGGAAAGAGACCCTGTTGAAAAGGCAAGTGGCCGTCCTAGAGTCTGACCCCTCACTGACTAAAGAGCAGTGTGGGGAACAGTTGCAATCCATACTCACGGCCTTTGTTCAAGTTAGGAATCTTGAGGACCATACCACTCAGATCGCGGAAGTCTTTGCTAAGCTGTATACACTTCAAGATGGTCTGACTGATATGACCCGCAAGTACCATGAATTAACAAAGGAGGTGGCTGACCTGCGAGAAGCCCAAGTGGCCAATCCTCTTCCTCCACCCCCTGGATCTGAAGCTGCAATCAAAACTACCTTTGCCCCTCTTACAGTATCTTCTTCTACTCCTTCTTCGAGTGTGATGGCAACCCCCTCGGGACCTGCAGCAGGTGCAGATTCCGCTGTTGCTGTAACAAGCAATGAGGCGGGAACTTTTGCAACTGCTGCAGCCCCAAGACCGGAACCAACTGCTGCTGGTCCCAGCCACGCTGGTCCCTATGTGGACCGAAAAGCGGTACAGATACCGTCTAAGTACGACGGCAAGGAAGACATAGAGTCCTGGATCGACTCCATGAGGGCCTACTTTGAGATTTTGGGGACTCAAACTGAGACCCAGGCGGTGATCATGGGAATGAATGTCGAGCCGGTCGTACGGGGCTTCCTAGAAGTCGAAGCAACGAGGGCTGGGTTCCAAAAGACTGCACTAGCCAAATGGCTTAAGACCACCCTGGTTGCCTCCCTCGAGGATCTCCTTATCTCACAATACCAGGATCCGCATGCTGCGGCTAGAGCAAGAATCCAACTTGACAAAGTCAAGCGCAGCAAGTGGACAGGCTCCATAAGAAGCGCGCAAACCTATCTTAGCAAGATGTTCGCTACTCCTGGTTTCGAATTGTCTGCTCAATCTTGCTTAGATGTGGTTAAGGGCGCGGTTCCAACTAACTTCGCCAATCGCCTGGGCAGGCGGTGATCATGGGAATGAATGTCGAGTCGGTCGTATGGGGCTTCCTAGAAGTCCAAGCAACGCGGGCTGGGTTCCAAAAGACTGCACTAGCCAAATGGCTTAAGACCACCCTGGTTGCCTCCCTCGAGGATCTCCTTATCTCACAATACCAGGATTCACATGCTGCGGCTAGAGCAAGAATCCAAATTGACAAAGTCAAGCGCAGCAAGTGGACAGGCTCCATAAAAAGCCCGCAAACCTATCTTAGCAAGATGTTCGCTACTCCTGGTTTCGAATTGTTTGCTCAATCTTGCTTAGATGTGGTTAAGGGCGCGGTTCCAACTAACTTCACCAATCGCCTGGGCAGGGACTACATTGCATACGCTGACTTGTGACCGGATCTTGGTGATCCCTTTGCTGATCCCCCACCCCCACCAGTCCCATCAGACATCCAAACTCTCCTCGATCGGTTTCCGGAAGTCCTGGCCGAGCCACGTGGAGTCCCCACGTGATCGGTTCGACACACCATCGAGTTGGTCGAGGGTGTTGTTCCTCCAAAGGGCTGCGTGTACCGTATGGGACCCGGCGAGATCGATGAGATGATTGACAAAGGGTGGATCAAACCTAGTGAATCTGAATTTGGTCCTCCTGTGTTGTTTGTGCCAAAGAAAGGAGGCAAACTCCGCATATGTATTGACTATCGCGGTCTAAACCGCATCACAAGAAAGAATGCTTATCCATTGCCTCGCATAGATGGCTTGCTTGATGCCACAGGTGGGTGCAAGGTCTTCTCCAAGATCGATCTCAAGTCTGGCTACCACCAGATTGAAGTCGATCCTGCGGACCAGCACAAGGCTGCGTTCAAAACACCCGACGGGCTTTATGAGTTCACCGTAATGCCCTTCGGTCTCACGAACGCACCAACCACTTTCCAAAGCCTCATGGACAATGTCCTCCGCGAACAGATTGGCCGGTTTGTGGTAGTGTACCTGGATGATATTATGATCTTCAGCAAGTCCATGGAGGAACACCTCAAGCATCTTGAGGAGGTGCTCGCTATTCTCAAGAAGACGGAACTCCATCTCAACTTGGAGAAATTTGAGTTTGGGAAGGATAGCGTCATCTACCTTGGGCACCGATTGTCTGCTGCAGGCCTAGAGCCTGAGGCAACCAAGATTGAGGTCATACGCGACTGGCCTCAGCCTGCAAACATTCTCGAATTGCGTTCTTTCCTTGGTCTCGCGTCGTATTATCGGAAGTTTGTACCCCGTTTCTCCATCATTGCTCGTCCATTGTCGCGACTAACCAGTAAAAATGTGCCTTATTCCTGGGATGCCGCGTGTACGGAAGCTTTTCGAGCTCTCAAGGAAGTGGTAAGTTACCCAGTACTCTGCATTGCATATCCCAAACTGACATTCGTAGTTACTACGGATGCAAGTCAGTATGGAATCGGTGCAGTGTTGCAACAAGATGACGGCGATGGCCTGCGGCCACTCGAGTACTACAGCAAACGGATGGCCAACGTAAAGGTAGCCACTTCCACCTACATGCGCGAGCTCTATGCTTTGCGTATGGCGTTGGATCACTGAAAACATTATCTTTTGGGACGCCACTTCAAAGTCTTCTCAAATCACTAGACCTTGAAGTACCCTGTCCCCTACCTTGCTTCGCTGGTTGCATGAGATTGACATCTTCGATTTTGAATTAAGACACAAAAAGGGTTGTTATAATCGAGTCGCTGATGCATTGTCTCGCCACCCTGAGTACATGACTTGCCTTGTGAAATCCTACGACCTCCGGAAGAAACTGAACGAGGAGCTCGTAGAGCAGACAGCCAAGGATCCGAAACTTAGTTCCATCCTTGAGCGGCTGCGGGCTGATTCTAGTAGTCAGCCTGATTTCCACGAGTATAGAGGACTGATTTTTCGTCGCTATGGGAACCATGACCGTTTGTGTGTGCCCAACCATGAGCCTCTCCGCACACACTTTCTGGATTTGGCTCATGGCCGGAGCGGGCACTTCGGCATGGCAAAAACGTACGCTAATTTGCTGAGACAGTTTGATTGGCCTGGCATGAAGGGGACTGCTGAGAAGTTTGTGGCTGATATGTCAAGTCTGTCAACGGATCAAACCATGCAGACAAAAGCCCATGGGGCTACTCACACCCCTACCCATTCCTGATGGTCCCGGGGAGTCTGTCTCCATTGACATGGGTAAGGTAAGCAAAAACGGGTATTCACAAGTCATGGTGATTGTTGACCCATTTTCAAAATTTCTTAATCTGATCCCTATGCCGCCCCACGCCCCAACAGATCTAGTGATTCGCAAATTCCAACAGAAATACCTGTTGCAATTCGGAACCCTGAAGACTCTTGTGAGCGATCGGGATCCGCGTTTCATTAGCACTGAATGGAAGGATTTCACGTCTCACCTAGGAATCAAACTGTGCATGGCATCTGGCCGACACCCCGAAGCCAACGGTTTGTCTGAGGAGATTAACCAGACTGTGTTCCAACTACTTCGCGCTTTGATTATCCCGGATCAGGAAACATGGGATGAAGAGCTGTATTTCGTTAAGGGGTTATAGAACAACTCCGTCCATTCCGCCACCGGCATGACACCCAACAAGCTGCATTACGGTTGGCAGATCCGGAATCCGCTCTCTTACCTATTCCCTGAGCAGCCAGCTGGTTTAACACCTGGCAGGCCTGGCTTCAGGGCCAAGTATGATCGCTTGCTCAAAGTTGCCATTGCAGCTATGACCAAGCGACAACACGCCATGATCCATCACGCGAACAAGAAACGCAGACCGTCAGATATTGAGGTAGGAAGCCATGTGTGGGTCAAGATGTGTGAATTCTCAGAAGAAGAGGGAGTCTCACGCAAACTCCTCCCTCTCTATTATGGGACCTGGGAAGTTTTGGATGTGATTGGTGAAGATCACTTTGGCCTTTCGTACGTTGTAGACGTGCCAGCTCACCTGCGCACATATCCCGTGGTCTATGCATCTAAACTGTATCTCCACCGTGATGCCGAGGCATTCAATTACCACCGCGAAGATATGATCCCTCGCACAATCAAGGGCGGGCATGAGATAGAATCAAACAGCATGTAGGTAAGGGGAGGAACAGACAGTACCAGGTTCGTTTTATGTATCACCTGTTAGACGATCTGTACTGGATCTCCAAACAGGAACTGCTACGCAGCGCACTGCGCGTTGTTAAAGCCTACGAGCGCCAAATCGCTGCTAACGCTGCACCCAAGATCTCAGCAAGGCTCACTGCGACAGAGTATTCCAGGAATCTCTTTGCCTTGCTCGCCTACGATGCATTTGCCGAGGACTCAGAATGAGTTACTCGCTTGAAGGGACCTCGCTCTTGAGGGGGGGGTAGTGTGATAACCCGTCCAAACATGGACTGAAACACACAGCTGATTTCTGAGTTTTGCTCATAGACTGAATGCCCTACTGAGTTCCCGCCTGCTAAGTCTGTGTGTGTGTGCTTGCTGGACTGCATGTCTGTCTGAGTGCTGGTTGGCTTGCGTGTGTGTAACTGTGCCTGTCTGAGTGCTGGTTGGTATGAGTGTGTGTGTGGCCCGTCAGGGCACTTGTTCGTTCGTTGGGCCCTCAGGGCTGGTACTTACCTGTGGCCGTGGCTTCGAAGGGTTGCAGCGGGGAAAAAGCACTCAAGTAGCGGGTAGGCCGGTACCGCACCCGGCAGGGGGGTAAATACGCAGGTACCGGAGGCCGAGCAGAAGAAGACAAAAGTGGCATTTTTAGAGGCCGGTAGTGTAGGCTAGGTCTAGCGGGTACCAGTCTGAGTCTAGGCCCTGTAGGGGCAATATCAGAGTCTGCAATGATGTTCCCTCCAAAAGAGGAGGAGGTACCGGTTGCTTGGGAAGGCCAGCGGCCTGGAAGTCGCCGCCCAAGAGGCAAAGCAGGCCGCTATATCTTCCGGCCGGGCGGAAGACCCGGCCTCTTTTTCGGTGTGCAAGTTTGGCGACACACTGGTGGAGCGCTGGCTGGAGCAGTGCTAAGCTGGAGCAGCGCTGCTGGGGAGGAAGAAGAAGGACATGAGGAAGGAAGAAGGAGGAAGGAGGAAGGAAGGGGGAGGAGCGCCAGGGGTACTTACTTGGCTATGGTGGCAGCCATCTTCATCACCTTGGTGGGCGCTGCAGCAAGGAGTCCCCAGCCGGGGAGAGCCGCACCAAGAAGCTTCAAGGCAGGGTTGGGCATGGCGGCCTGAGCTAGAGCAGCCATAGCTGCTTTGTGTTGTCCTTTGGGCATCTGAGCAAGGCCTAGTAGTCCGCCATAGCCTCGGCCTATGAGAGTGAAGTGTGGGAGAGGCGGCCATGGCTATGGTGGACCTTGGGTGATACCTGCAGTAGAAGAGGGACTCGGACATTGATTCTGGACCAGTCATTCAACATTGTACTATTGTTTCTTGTATGAATAAGAGAAGGGGGAGATAAGGAGGAGGAGATTGTTGGGCGAAGAAGAAGAGCCTTGTCATTGTCTTTGCTGGTGTACATCTTCTTCTTCCTCTTTCTTACTTTTTCTTCTTCTTCTACTCCTCTCTCTCCTCTCAAGTTCATTCATTTCTTTCTGCAATTGGATGGCATTGTACTTTCCAGTGGATGTGTATCTCGAAATTGGCCAGGGTCATAACAAAAAAGAGAAAAAGAAAAGAAAGAAAAGAGGGAAAGAAAAAATTATTGTGTGTGTGTGTGTGTGTGTGTGTTTGTTTGTTGTCTTGTTTGCTATACATAACTCCACAAAAAAATCCATGACCGTCGCACACTGTCTTGTTAGACTTTCAAACACTCGTCAGAACTTCAGAAGTTTGAGCCCGATAGTCTGCCCAGGATGCATTGACAGATGGATAAGGATCACCCAGAGTTACCCCTGAGAAAAGTGGTAGTGCGTGTGTGTTGTCATGTTCGTGTGTGTGCATGTGTGGGAGTGTATGTTCGCTATATACAAATCCTAGAATTCCGCAAAAAAAAGCAGGACTGGACCAGACCGTTTTGTCCAACTGTCACTGACTCATCAGGAGGTTGTGTTTGTGGTGGCCGGGGGCCGGGGGGGAGGGAGGGGCATGGCGGGGGATGGTGCGGGTGTGTGGATTTATTGATAACAGATTGGAAGGAACGATACCTTCCTCACGACAGAGGAGGAACGCTCACCAATGGTTAAGGGTGAGCCTCGTGTTCTGAGAGATGGAATGGTCATAGAGTGGCTTCCAGGGCTCTGTATGTTCAAGTACATGGTGCTCCCTCAGCCCGTTGATGCTGAGCATCAAGGGGACTACTGTACAGAAGCTGGCGTGAGTGCCTCTAACCTTCTTGCGTGCTTTGCTGTTCCAAGTGGTGTTTTGCGTATCGAAGTTCAACAGTTATTTATGATGCCAGCTTGTAGTTTGGTTTCAACTTCCAATTTTCAATGCCAATGAACCGTTAATTCATTTAGACGAAATTAGATCCAGTGTAGGAAGAAATCACTCTTCGAAATGCAAAATACTAAATGCACTATCTTTTGTGAAAAAACTTCAAAAAAGGTGTCTTACGAGTGCTTAGATAGATCATGTTTGGCATACTGGACCCAGCCACTCAAATGAAAGCACTCCAGACCAAGTGGATCTTAAAGCTGATAACTAGCCCAAAGCTCCTGTGGGGACCCTTAGTGTGGCATACTGCGCAGCCACACGGGCCTGCAGGGCCCGACCAGCGTTCTCAGCCTAAAAGCCTGAAAACAAGGGCCTCCAGGCCCTGTGTCTTTTCAGCCTGAAAAAGAGGTCCATTTTCAGGCCCTCATAGGATCGACCTGCCCTGAAACTTGGGCACCAGACCAGGGTTTTAGCACAGGCCATTTTGGGCCTGTTTTCAAGACAACCCTTGTTTGCGCAATCAGACTCGTCTTATCCACACTTTTCATGTATGTAAACAGCAGCACAGCACACTGGCGACATGCGCCCACTCAGAACTCAGAGATATGGCTTCCAGATACGAGTTCTCTTTCAACTGTCTATGGCGACTTAGCGCCCAAACAACTCACTGTTCACACACTGGATCACCCTGGATATCCCACACAGGTCACTCTGAACACTCACACATGCACACACACTCTTCCCACTAACTACAGCTATGGCAGCTATGGCTGCCTCTAAGCTATCGCTATGCTAACTCCTTCTTTCTCGCCCACTGCGTCCTCCCTGCTCACTGCAGACCTCCTTGCACAAGTCGTTGTGGCAGCGCTTCCGCATGGCTCACGCAGGAATGAATGAATGGCTGGGCGCTGCCTCTTGATTTATACTTCTGCAGGTCGTTGGTCTGGCCCATTTCCCTCGCCCCAAGTGCACACAGTCCCGTGCGGTACTTGCTTGACTGACTGGGGCTGGGACTGTTGACTCAGCAGGGTAGACTTCCCCCACATGCCCACTTGCCTCACCACTTGACCACTTGCCTCTGCTTAAACATGGGCAACTCACGAAAGGCCACTACTGGAACGTTCCCGGAAGGCCGTAGACTTGGCCTTTCATGACTGTAGCAGCTACGACTCTGACCCTTCTGGACTGTAGCAGCTACAACCTTGACCTTTCGAGAACACTACAGCTACAGTGTCTAGACCTGACTAAGACTCCTATCCGACAGGTCTACAGATCGAACCCATGCTACCTATGGACCCTACGACAACCTATCAGCTATTACAAATACACAGGTCGCGGGTTCAATTCTACGGGTCGACACAGGTACTGTACACAGGTAAGGTTGGGGTCTAGGGATCGAACCCTAGGATCTGCAGCAGCTAGTGCTAACTGGTGAATACCGTTTCACTCCCGCCGTCCTAAATCCGAGGTCCTCCGAGAATAATTTAGTCCAAGGCAGGACCTTTACCTTTCTGTTCTCTCTCGTAGGCTCTAACGATATCGGGATCTGTCTCTAGAAGTTCTGATCTCGTAAACCAGCGGTCATCCTCCGGTTCCTGATATGCAAAGCGGACCTTGTACTATTTCTGTGGACGACCTCTACCTCTTGTTCTTAACACATCCTCGTCTACAATGCCCTCTATGTCATAGCTCCCATCCATATCGGGAGGGATCATGGATCTTCTAGAAGGGAACTGTTGGCTTGAAGCATGGAACACAGGATATTTGTGGAGGTGTATTGGGATCTCTATAGTGTATGATGGTCCATCCTCTCCGCCCTTGACTTCTAGAACCGGCCATGGTCCTCTAAATGTAGGCAGTAACTTCTGCGAGATGTTTTCTTCAGGCGCAAACTCTTTTGCCTTTACCCAGACTAAGTCGCCTACTTGAAACTGTGATGGACGATGGTGCTTGTTAGCCTGTTCTATCATCCTTTGTTGGGCCTTTCTAAGGTTCTCAACAACAGTTGCTAATTCTTTCTCGTGCGGTACTGCAAATTCCCTGGTACCGGGCGGTAGTCTGTGAATCTGATCCTGGTTCAGTCCTTCGAACGGTCTGCGTGGTCTGAAGGACTTGTGCAACTCATTGGGAGTGCGGCAGGTGGATAGATGGACACTGTTGTTGTAGGCACTAGCTACCTTAGGCAACATCTCATCCCAGTTAATCTGCTCTGGTCTAATGTACATGCGCAGAACTTGCTGTAGGATCTTGTTCATCTGTTCTGTCTGAATGTTGGTCTCTGGATGACGGCCAAATGACATTAACAACTTAGATCTGTACACTCTCATGAGTTCTTGCCAGTTCTGGCTGGTGAAGCGACTATCTCTATTGCTGACTATTGGCAATGGGATTCCATTCTCACTAACCCAAAAGTCAAAGAACTTCTGTATCACTAAGTCTGTACGTGCCTCTGCAGGCAAAGGAACAAAAACTGCATACTTAAACCGGTCAACTATGACCATGACTTGGTTTTTACCATGCCGGCTCTTGACGTGGGTGTCCATGAAGTCTATGGACACTGAGTCTTCCGGCCGATGCGGAATAGGCAAGGGTCTGTGAAGACCAAGGGGTGCGCGTGTGGTAGTCTTATTACGTTGGCATACCTTACAAGGGTCTGAGAAGACCAAGGGGTGCGCGCGTGGTAGTCTTATTACGCTGGCATACCTTACGACTGAGGACATACTCTATGCAGTCATTCTTCATTCCTGGCCAGGTATACACACGCATCAGATTGGCTAGAGTTTTTTGCCAACCGAAATGTCCCTCTGTATCATGGCATTCCCCTAGGATCAGACTACGGATCTCTTCGTTGTTGGGAACGCACAGGCGGTCAAATATGTTAGTCTTCTCAAACAACAATCCGTCTGTAGTGCGGTAATCTGACTCAGTCTGTGGAGCCTCTCTAACTCTCTTGAGGAGGTCGCTATAGATAGGGTCCTGCGCATACGCTTGCTTCACTTTCTCTTGCAGGTCTCTCCCTATATCCAGATAGTGTACTATGGCTCCAAAGTAGTCTGATCTCCTACTCAGAGCGTTCGCGACTATGTTGTACTTGCCCTTCACTGGCTTAAGCTCAAAGTCATGTTGGTCTATCTCTGCGGCCTACCTAATTAACTTAGGTGTCATCTTGGCCTGAGTCTTTAACCAACGAAGCGTCTCGTGGTCAGAATACACTTTGAAGTGCCTCCCAAGCAGGTAATGCTTCCAGTGCTCTAAAGCTTGCGTGAGAGCGTAGAGTTCTCTCTCGTGCGTTGAGGTAGCAACCTTCTCTGAGGGCATCCTCACTAACATGAACTCTACAGGTCTGTAGCCATTGCCGCCGTCTTGCTGCAACACGACGCCTATCCCGTACTGACTTGCGTCCGTGGTGACGACAAATGGCAAGGACGGATCTGCTACTTTGAGGACAGGGTATTCTATTAGTGCGCGTTTCAGTTTCTTGAGCGCGAATGTACAATCCTTGTCCCATCGCCAGATTGCTTCTTTCTTAAGCAACCTGCGCAGGGGAGCGGCGATAGTAGAGAACTTCCTCACGAACTTCCTGTAGTAGTTAGCTAGGCCTAGGAACGACCGCAACTCTGTTAAGGTGCGGGGCATCGGCCAATCTCTAATCGCCGCTATCTTACTGTCCTCTGGCTTAATGCCATCTCCGTCTAATACGTGGCCGAAGTAGAAGACTTGTGTCTTGGCCCACTCACACTTCTTCGCGTTGATCTTGAAGTTAGCCTCTCGTWGCTATTCCAGGACCTGCCTCAGATGACCCATCTAAATAGACTACGACAAACCAATCCAACGAGGGTCTAAACAGATCATTCATGYAAMGCTGAAATGTAGCTCGCGCGTTGGTTAGTCCAAAGGGCATCACTATGAACTCATAATGCCCGTATCGAGTCCAGAAGGCAGTCTTGTACTGATCATCAGGATGGACTTCTATCTAATGGTAACCGGACTTCAAATCAATCTTAGTGAAATACTTACAACCCTGCACCCGATCTAGAAGATCGTCTATCCTGGGCAGTGGCTCAGCATTCTTCACAGTAATCRCGTTCAAACCCCTATAGTCTATACACATTCTCAGCTCTCCTTCCTTCTTGGGGACAAACAAAACAGGTGCTCCAAAAGGAGACGAACTGGGCCTGATCCAACCTTTTTCGAGGAGCTCGTCTAATTGCTTGCGAAGCTCCTCTAACTCTCTAGGGGACATCCTGTAGACTGCACCCTTAGGRGTTCTACTGCCAGGCTCTATCTCTATCCTGTGCTGGATGAGTCGCGACACTACTCCTGTCGGCGACTCAGTTAAATCTTTGAACTCTTCCAGCAACTTGGCAATGGTTGGATGTGTGCAACTATCCATTTCCTGGCCCTCAGTGACAGGTCGAACATAGACTACAAAGACTTGCTCTTCTAATCGCTCCTTCTTTACTATCGCGCGAACACGGGAGCACTGAGACAACAATGTGCCAAGGTGTTGTCTACACCTGACACATGAAACAGGCGGGCAGTCTTAACCTCGCCTGACGGGCTAGGGAGCCTACACTCATGCTCTCTCAAATGAAGTGTGGCCCCTGCTGCCTCTCCCAGTCCATTCCTAACACTACATCAAAAGGAAGGTCATCCTGTACGAGGAGAGTCAAGGAATGGAGAACTTTTTCCACCTTCCAATCTTTCTCTAGGCGAAAGTATGCCTAGACTCCCTCTACATAGTCCTCAACTCGCATCGTGCGGTTGTCTRCGAGGACACTGACTATGGGGTCTGCTAATTTTTGGACTTTTAGTCCTWGCTTCAACTTCTTCAGCGCCCTACGGCTAATATAACTGCGGGTGGCCCCTGAATCTATAAGGGCCCCTACTCTATTCCTGAAAACTTCTACATCTACTAAGATCAGTTGTCCTYTACGCTCTTTCTTCATCTTGGCCCAGGCTGGCATCCTCTCCTTTAACTYTTTTGCCACACCTGTGAGGGACGTGCCTAAAGAGACGCTAACACAGGCGGTCTCTGGACARCTAGCTAGGCACGGGCCTGCAACCTCTGCCATAGGCTCATGTGGGTTGGGAGTGTCCTGTTCGCGCGCGCTCACTTCTCCACATGGCCTTGAAGTAGGGGCATTTGCGACCCCTACTGGCGGCTGCCTTTTGACTGTTGGGCAGCCCAACGGGCCTGTCTATACTTTGGACAAAATTTTATTACGTGGGCCGGGTCACCACAAAACACGCACTGACTCAGGTTCACGCGTACCTGCCATAACCCCTGGTTCCAAGCCCAAGTCTTCCCAGGGCCTTCCCTGGGGCAAGCCTGGGTGCCAACCTCCTTGAGGTGCCCTTCCACCTCTTCGCTGTTGAGACCGATTACCCTGGCGATTTGGCGGGGGACCTTGACCCCTACCTCCCGCTTGGCGGTTTCCTTGGCCGCCAACCCCCTGTGCGCCCGGTCCTCGGCCTCCCATGGCCTGGCCCCTTTGGCCCTGGCCTCCTCCTCTACCTTGCGGCTTCCCTCCAGCCGCGACAACAGCATAGGACCTCCCCTGCCCTACACTACTGTCCTCGTCCCCTAGGCCCCACTCAATCTGTTCATATGGGACCTCGTCTGTACCACCCTCCTCTAACGTTAGGATCAAGTCATCCTTGGCCTTGACTTGGCCTGAGATGGTACGATCCTTCCACTTCTTCCCCTTCTCTAGGTCTTTATGCCAGAAAGTGGTGACTAGCATAGACTTTGACTCATACAGGACCACCTCCCTACTCAACACATCATATGTGATCCCGGCCTATTGAGACTTGTCAAAGAAGTGCCCCCTCAGGGGCTCTGGCATGGCACGATAAAACAGCTGGACCAGTTGGGGTTCAGTAACCCCGTGGTCCGGCACGGCTACCAAGTCGTTCATGGTACCCTTGAGTGCCCTTGCACTCCTCCACTGTCGTGAGTGGATCGTTTGCAGTTTGTCAGAGGCGCGAACGCCTCTCGTTGGGTCAGCAAATCGCTCCTTCAGGAGCTTAAGGAATTGAGGAAGGGGGGTGACTTTTGAGTATGCAAGCAGGTTGTTTTCACAATCGGTTGCGCGTGCAAGAGACCTGGAGAAACTAGCTGCTTCATCGTTGAGGGCCTGAAAGGCCACGAGGACTTGCTCCTTTGTGAGGATATGCTGCAAATAAATGTAACTATTGACACTGGCCTCCCAGTTGTCAAAGTTCTCCTCCTCCTTTCTCCCGTACGCGTCTGGGAACTTGAGCTTTACAGGCTCGTTACGGGGTCTGCCCTCGCCTTCCACAGCAGCTATGGCCTTGGCACCCTCAATGGCGCCTTCGCAGTACTTCCCCACATTATCCCTCAGTTGCCTGACTTCGCCCCCAATGTGGGTGACGATCTCGCGCGCAAACTCTCTAAACCCTGACCGCATGGCTTTCAGGGTGATGTCTTGGCCCTGATTGGCGTGTCGTTCCTCTAGCCAGGCCTCACTCAACACCTCTAAGTACCCCAACATCTTGTCCAGTTTGGCAAAAACATCTGTTTGTGCATGGACTTCCTGTCTACACGTCCGCACCTTTTCCACTTCTGCGGTCAACGTGGTGGCTTCCTCCCTTTTCTTCTTCTTTTCCCTCTTCATTCTCAATTTCCATTCCAATCTCTTCTCCTCCTCGGCTTCTTGACGTTCAAGGGGGTCCTCAATCATTGCGAGGGCCCTGCCAAACGCCTCCTCTTCCTGTGGCACATACATTTGTGCCTCCTCATCTTCACCCGACGATAAATTAGCAACCCACTCACTTATTTTCTTTTCCATCTCTGCATCTTTATCCTCCTTCGTGCCACTGCTCCCTTCTCTGCTCTCAATTCTCATTCTCTCCTTCTCTTCTTCTGCCGCCGCTTCTTCTTCAGCAGCCTTCTTYTTTTTCTCCATCTCCTCTTCTAACTCTTTCATCTTCGCCTCGTCTRCGATAGCTTTTAGCTTCGCTTGTTTCTCTMGCTCTTTTCTCTCCCTGTTCTCCTTGACTAAGGCGGCCATCTTCTCTTGTTGCTCCTGGGTGTAGGGGCTAGTGCTTTTCCCACTACGTAGGTCCACCATGGTGATAGGTGCACAATCAGAATGATTCCACTCCTCACAACGTAGACTCTAACCCCTGACTGACAAACCTATTGACTCGATCTAAGACTCACAGAATCGTGACAGGGATCCTACCCGCTATGGTCTCTAGCCTAGACCTAACTATGGCTGTCACTACCGAACCAGTGGCTGATCTGGAGGCATTTAAGGAGATCCCCCGTAACTCCGCAATAATTCTTTAACGTCGCAGACAAGACGACGTGATCAGCTTGGTTCTGCCTGTGCTTTCAGCCCACGATTCAGCCTTTCCGGCCTACTGTGCCACATCGAGCAGCCTGCCGAGGGTTCGTATCCGCCGGGACAGTCGAGTCGTCAGACACAGATCCTCAGCCTTACTTGGTCCGGTAGGGGAGTGGTTCAAACAGGCCCTCAACACTTAAAGACTGCCTG